TTTCCCAGTTACAACAGAGGGAAGCTATGGAAACGAGGAGCTTCAAACACATGTCATGGCTTGGGATGCTGCACAGAACACCAAAGAGGGTACCAGCCCCTCCAGAACATTTCCCCTGTGGGGAGCAAGCCAGAAAGTCTAAATTTCCATTTTAATTAATCTGCATATTTATCTGGCACATTTATCTGCATCCTGGTATATTTTTAGGAGTTAGTAGAGCTTCACTTAAATCTGCTTCAAATTAAATCCTAACCTTCCATTTTCTGTAACTTTGCTGCTAAAAACACAGCAGTYGGTTTTAGCCTTCAATGTTTCTTGTTTTGCCTCAGTCCTTGGCCAAATTGCTCACACAAGTCCTATATGCCAGGTAGTTTTGGTGGGGATGGATTTTGGGGGTAGAATCTCCTACTTTTTGATTGTGAAAGTAGTAATGTGAAAACTAAACGCCACAAAACCAAAATTAACTGAAATCGTGTTGGCCAACCTACAATGCTGACTTTGCRTAACAAAATTCTACGTTGATAAACTTCACAAAAGCTAAAAAGTCCCTAGGATGTGCATAAACTTGACCGAGCACAACCTCCAACTACTTCTGTTTTCCTCCTCCACTGTTATTAAAGCTCTGTGTAGTCTTGAATAAAACTTTAGAATAGTATCTAGAATAGTATCACATTAAAAATCTTTTATACAAATTTCCTTCAATACACTTTATTGAAAAAGCATAAATAGTATCAAAAAGCCTTATTTCCTTTTCCTTGATTCTGATTTCTTATCTATTTTCTCGCAGCTTGGAGAACTAACATATTTTTAGCAAGTTTTACTCTCAGGTTTTAACAGTCTCAAAAGAAAACTGCAAGCACTGGACTGTTTCCCCCTTCCAGTATATTTTTAACTAGGATGCATTTAACTCAATTACAGGATCATAATAAACAGAATTGGAAAGGGTGCGTTATTGAGACAAAAGCCAGACTCTTCTAGGAGATGCACAGTAAAAGAACAGGAGGCTATGGGCAAAYCTTACACCAAGGGAAAGTTGCCATGGATTTTTATGGAATGAAAGTGATTAAAAGCAGGAAAAGAGACCCACAGAGCCTGTGGCACTGCCACCTTTTGAGATTTTTAAAACTCAAKTGGACAGTGCCCTGAGCAATCTGATCTAACTCCGCCAACTCTGCAGTAAACCAGGACTCCCTCAAATCTCCCTTATTCCATGACTGTGTCCTCTTGTAYCGAGGCCGCCTTGGTATGGGGCATGTCCATCATTTTTTGATCTTCCCAAACATTCAATCTGAGCATTGGGAATGGCTGTTTTGGCAGCTTAAGAGCATAGATGCTGTAGTGCCCAGGAATGTTCCCTCCAACTGTTTCCACTACCAGCATATATAAGGCAGACAGTCCTTCTCTCTAGCCCCACAACTCCTGTCAGATGGTGCCTAGCCTGTCCTTAAAAAGAAAAAATGCAATATTCGTTCTGCAATTACGAAACAGTTGAGTCCTTCAGACCTGGMTTCATCTGACCTGGCGGTAAGCCTGTGAAGTCAGGTGAGGTAAATCCCTGGGGTTATGTAATTCCTCACATGGAGGTATGAGTTTCTTGTCCCACACAGCAGGAATTAACTCAGGTGCCTCCTCGTTACTCAGTATTAAGGCTTCAGCTTTCTCTGAGGCTGAGATATTTTCACAGTGTCATGGTAAGTGCAAATTCCCTTTGCTGAGATTCAGAACTTCCCCACGACGCTATGGACGAGTAGAATATTGCCAGTATCTCCCTTCTAATGACCTCTGGGTACCTCTCCCGGGAGTTTCCCAAGTGCTCCCAACAATTCAGACAGCCAAAGCTGCCCTTGAACTTTATGTCTGCCTTTCTTCAAGTCTGATTTGACACGGCTGTCAACAGCCAGGTGTGATCCAATGTTTGGAGGCCTGTGGTGCCAAACCCCATATTGGCACAGAAAGGCTTCCTGCGCAGGGCTGACATTTGCAGTGCTGCAGACTTGCCAGTTAAAAACATTACTGTCTGACAGCCTCTGTCCTTTGGCAAGGATCCATCCAGCTTGTCAGCAGGTACCAGGATATCTTAACAAACACACAAGGGAGCAAACGGGCAAGAAAGAAGCACATCTAAGCAATGTGCTGGTGCCCCCTAAAAGGACCAAACTCCAGGTGAACGCAAACAAAGAATTCACTTTACAGGCTACATTCATTTCCTTCAAATCACAAATACTTAATRATTTGCAAGAATATATAAGGCAGTACATAAAGACAATGAAATGGATTTGAACAACCTTCTCTGCACAACGTTGTTAATTATCTATGAGCATGTCCTCCCTCACAGCCATCTCTCTGCCCTTCTTCCCCTCTGGAGGGTACTCAGAACCCTTCTTCCTCAAGCTGCCCCGTGTTTATATTAATGTTGCGTTTCAGACTAATTGGAAAGTAGAAGCCCAAATGATACAGGCAAATTAAATTATGAAACCACAAATCTGTTCTCATTGCACATTGCACAGACTGCAGTTTTATGTAACTGTTCAGTGCTTAAATCTCAACCATAAGAGTGACTCAGTGCAAGCACTTTGTTTTTAAAAGATAAAATGTGTGCTTTGAATTAGAATGGCCATTGGAAACCATTTCAATAATGTGAGCTTTGCAAACTGCTGCTGCTTTTTCCATATATGCACTGCCCTACTTTCTACTTTACATGGCTCCCTATGGGTTTTCACATCACTTAAATCCCTGAAGAAGCAGAGGCATCAATAAACAGCCTGAAAATCCAGGGCAGGAGGAGAAAGAAAAGAGATGTTTATTTGCATTAGGACTTTACACTTCACAGCTGTGTCACTGGCCATGGCTAGTGGTTGTTGGCCAAGCTAGCTATGGAAATTTTCATGCTATTCTTTTTGAGGCACTATCATTTCTTAATAAACTATTTGAAAATGTTTATTTCTGCATCTGAGTCTGAACTGACAATTTAAATTACTAACACAATTCTACTTGGGATAAAGGGCAACTGTGAAATCGTTACTGCTCTTTAAAGGGGATTCTTTGTGAGGTTGCAGGAATATGGCAATACCTGGGAATTAACCTCCTCCTCAAAAACTACTGCGGTCCAATGAAGCCCTCTGGTGGCTAAACCCACCTCAAAGGCAAAGCAGAACCGCACAGCTCCTGCTTCCKCCTTGTCTCACCTTGCTTAAGGTAATAAATAGCTAATAAATAGCTGCTCAAGTCCAAATAAATTTTCTTACCAGTATGCTGAGTGCTTTCCAGAGTCAAAAATTTAACAGCAAACAAAATGATCATCATTATCAGCTGTCAAGCAGGGCTCATCTCTGCTTACCTCTGTGGAGCCTGAGCCTGGAAGTTTATTAACACATAAAATTAACATGAGTCTAGATTTTCACAGGAACTGAACCATTCTCCTGGTATCCTTTCCAGGTCTGTATTGTTCTGGCTGCAGTGGCTCTATCTACTGTCAATGACAGAGAAAAAAATATGTTTTTAGTTTCTGATGAATTTTCATACACCTAAGGGTGTCTATCTGTCAAGCAAAGGAGAAGAGCTGGCATTTGCAGCATTGTCTTTTCTTTCGCACCTTCAAAACAAATTATTTTCCCCAAACTTGGATTTGTGCTTTACCTCAACTCACAGAGTCAAGGGGCTGTAGCTGGCAAGAAGAGGCTCTTTTTTAAAAGAGGGCGGTTGGAATAATACATACAATATACAATCATACATACAATCATACCAGAGTTCTTATTCATTGCAGACTCCTTGAACATTTTGAATGTCTTTTGATTGATGTCAGGTAAATAGCCTAATTATTTTGAGCTTTTCTGGACYGAGACAACATGTAAAATTGTACCTTGTAATCAATATTCCATCAGGGATACACAGATATCCCCACCTTTTATGCATCACAGGCAGTTGAATTTCATCTAAAATCCATGCACTGAGTTCAGAAACTTGCCCATGACTAAATCTGCATTTAGATGAAATGTATGTCCCTAAAAATCACCACATTTCACTAGAAGAGGTATGTGGAGGAYCTGCTCTTTACATTCGTAATTTGTTACGGTGGTTTAGCTGTATTTCACTTGTATCCATCCACTGGCTCTGTTTAAGGCTTTGTTCACCGAGCTAAAACCCCGCTACTTTCACTGTTTTTCTCTTCATAAAGGCATTTAGTCAATGTAGGCAAATCACCCCCTAGTTCTTTCAGGTGGAATGGACAGCTTGGGCTGCTTATGTATTTGATCTTGCACCCACGTGARGCATTTTTTTCCCGCACCTTGAAGCACTTTCCTAGGTCTGACAGTCTTTTTCAGTGTCTCAATGGCCTATCCGCAGTGCTGATTTCAGGGACTGCACAGTGATAAGATTGCTCTCAAACACCAAGGGGTGACCAAGTCCAGAAGGAGCGTGTGTTATTCTCTTAGAGACTTTGTAAAATGAAAGCTCTGTCCGATGCAATATTTCAAGACCAAAGAAGTTGCCTCCTCTCACATCACATTTATACACTTTCTGCTCCGGGTTTGAACGTTAACCCCACGGGCCCCTCCTCCAGCAGGAAACAAAACCAAAGTTGTGTGTCTCGTCCAGCTTCTTTCCCTCACACAGATCAGGTAACTTTCAAACTCGTGGCCCACACTGTGCCACATCCATAGGCACAAGGCGCACTGCCCCTGCACAACGAAGCTCCGCTCCGTCCCCAGGCGCCTCCTCCATCCCCGCGCGACCGTTGCCAGCGACCGTTGGCGCGCTCGCCGACGGGCCCGGAAGGGGGGAGACCGGCGCATGCGCACGCCCCCCCCGCAGAGAGGCGCTGCTCCCGTTGCACGCTGGGAGTTGTAGTCCCCAGCGCCAGCCCCGGTAGGCGCCGGCAGCGACGTCACGGCGTTCGCGCCTGGAGCGGCGCTCCAGAGCGTGGAGACGCGGTGGGGCGGGAGTCGGAGCGAGCGCGGTCAGGCGTGCGGGGAGCGCCCGCGCGGAGCCGGGCCGAGCGGAGAGGAGAGGCCGGTGAGGCAGCGGCGGGCGGGCCCGGAACGGCAGCGGCGCGATCGCGGTGCGGGCGGGCGCGACACGGCAGGGGCGGGACCGCTGTGCGGGCGGGCGCGGCGCGGTGGCGGCGCGGGGCGAGGACAGGTGAGGGCAAGCAAAGCGACGCGGGCGGGCGGCTTTTCGCGCGTGGGGCCGAGCCTGGTCCCCCCAGGGGAGGCGTGAGGGGCTTGGGGAGGTCTCTGCTTGTGTCCTCGGGTCCTCTGTCGAGCATCTCCTGCTCCCCAGAATGCTCCACAGATAGCCCGATGCCTACATGGCTCTCAGGGGGCAAGTTTTCACCTCCCTCACAAGAGTAAGTGCTGCCCAGCACGTGTACATGCGATGGGATCCCAGGTTTTACCACAAGTCATGTGTTACCTGATCACTTACTAGGGCCGAGGTTGGTTACACTGGAGTTCAGGGAAGCACCGAGAAGGTGAAGCAGGTTTGGAAGCAGCTCGAGTCCCTGTCCAAGCCGGCAGGACTCGCTCTGCTTGACCTTGTCCTCGGCAGGTGCTTCCTTAACCACCTCTTAAGGACCGTGGGATGGTGGCGTGTCCTCTCTCCCCCGTCAAGGTTACCCCTTTCAGTGCTTAGCTGTTGCTTATGGTTGGAATTTTTCCTTAAGAACTGACCTAAATCTCCCTCGTGGAAACTAAGCTGATTATTTTCTCGCGCTGCCCAGGGTAGAGCAGTGCAATGATGGGTTATTCTCTTGATAACGCCCTGGAAGACGTTCCTGTGTTTCTGCTCATGGCCCTCCCTAACGTGAGCGAAGCTGCTTCTCGTGTTCCTCTGGTCCTTGGACTTTCTCAGTCATTTCCTTCGTCCTTGAGGTTTTAAACTCGGGACGAGCCCCATTGGAGACCTCCTTACCCAGGAGGTCAGGGGTAACCATCTCCCTCATGTGTGACATCCCTCTTACAGCGTTTAAGGGTGACACCACCTCGTTCTGCATCACTGTCACGTTCCATGTCACCTGCAACATCAACACCACCGATTTTCCATCTGCTAAAAGGCAGACTGGTTTTTGCTATAATGCAACCCAGATGATTGTTCCTAATGTGATAGTCATGCATTTATTTACTCAACGAGTATTTTATACTTGTTGGTTTGAGAAGAAACTCGTTACCTCAATCATCATCATCTCATAACTCTATCCAATTTTATCCATTCTTCCACTCAACCTTCTCCACATTTGGGCTCATCCATGAACAGTTAATCAAAAGAGCAAGTAGTGGCAGTTGCACTGTGATCAAACTCTTGCAGTTTGACTCTCTGAACCCGTTTCCTGTTATTTTTCATCTCTCACGAAAGCTGCGGCTCTTTGTGTGCTGTGACCCTGCAGTTGAGTCAGATCCTATGGAGAGTCAAAGTGTGGGAAGTTTGAATTCCTTTGGATTGGATTGAACTGGATTTGGATTGGATTCTGTGCGCAGAGCAGGTTTGCACACAGCTCAGAACCTGGAAATGTGCTTAAAATCCTGAGCCCTCCTGAAGTTTCATTGTCCCATGTGGAGCTTTAGCATGTCCTAGGCCCCAAATAAATACTATGGAAAAGGAGGTTTCCCACCTGTTTTTGCCTTCTGCCTTTGGAAACTATTAGGGATATTAGGGTAATTAGGTAAACTATTAGGGTAATTAGGGATATCCGACAAAGCTTCTTTTGAGACATCAGGCAAGTCATAACTTGCTTTTTAAAAATTCAGAAATGTGCATTTTCTGCATTTTTACTTCTTTACTGTAAAATGGTAAATTCAGCTCCACATAGCGTTATAAAAATGAGTACTCTGAAGCAATATGATGATTCTATGATTATGTGATTCAGCCCTTCATCAGTAGTGGGCAGCAGGAGGTTTTATGGACTCTGACAAAAGGGCACTGAATCAATTAAGAAAATAAAATGCAAATGACTGCATTAGAGGATGTGAAGTTGTTCCCGAGCTATTACAGCATAGCTGATGCCTCTGGTAGATGGTTCTATGTCCCTTCTCTGTTCTAGGGTCCTGTAAACTCTTGCTTTCTAGAGAGACATTAGGAAAAGGTTGTGGAACCCTTCCATTCACTCTCTTTTTCCTCTCTTTCTCTATATTTTCCTGTCTTCCTGCTTAAATTCAAACCTTTTTCGAAACTTCATTTACTCTTTTAAGAGAGCTTTCTGGTGTAACTGTCCAAATACCTGTCCAAGCACCTGCTTAGTATAGGATTAGATTTATAGGTGATGCATTAATGCTTTGTTACACAAGTCAGGGATTACCTCTTCCGACCACAAACAGCCCATGAGGCAGAGGGGGTAGTTTTAACAATCTTAGTGCTAAAAGAATCATGCTTAACACAAAGAAAATATCCTCAGGTCCTGCAACCTGTGAGTTAAAGTGAAAAAAAAAAAACAGTTTTGTGATGAATATGAGCAAATTTAGTCCAGGTCCAGGAAAATTGTGTCCTTTAAAATAGTATTTGACAGTGGAAAACTTATAAAGTCTAATCCTGGAGTTTTTCATTAAGTGTAGGTGAAAATTATATGCACTTTGATATTACTGAGAGCAAGAGCCTGTCATTGGCAGGGCAATAAGCTAAAAAAACTTTTTTTTTTTCTCCAGCAAGATATTACTATTTTTTTTTCTTTCCTTTCCAATTTGTTTAGATGAGGGACGCCAGAAACCATGGACCTGGGAAAGGCCAAGCTTCTGAGGACGGGCCTCAATGCCTTGCACCAGGCCATCCACCCCGTGCACGGCCTCGCCTGGACCGACGGGAAGCAGGTGATCCTGACGTCCTTGCAGCTGCAGGGCGGAGAGCCCGCCTTCGGCGACTCCAGCGTCGTGGGCCAGTTCGAGCACGTTCACGGGCTCTACTGGGGCCCGTGCGCCGCCGACGGCCCGGCCCTGCTGGCCGTGCAGCACAAAAAGCACGTCACCGTTTGGCAGCTCTCTGTGACGGCCGCGGAGAGGAACAAGCTGCTGGTTTCCCAGGTGTGCGACGTCGGGGAGCCCTTCCCGGTGCTCCCGCAGGGCTGCGTGTGGCACCCGCGGCAGGAGGTGCTGGCCGTGCTGACCACGCGCGACGCCTCCGTCCTGCCCTCCGTGCAGCAGAGCGGCTCCCGGGTTAAGGCCGACATCAAGGGCAGCGGCCTCATCCACTGCGCGTGCTGGACGAAGGAGGGCGACCGCTTCGTGGTCGGCGTGGGCAGCGCCCTGCACTCCTACGTATGGGACCCCGCTCAGCAGACGCTGAGCGCCTGCTCTTTCTGCCCCATCTTCGACGTGGGGGGCTACATCTGCGCGGTGGAGGCCACGCTGGATTCCCAAGTGGCCGTCACTACTGAGCTTCCCCTGGACAAGATCTGCGGCTTGAACGCCGGCGTCGCCTTCGAGGTGCCGGCCAGCGTGGAGACGGACTCCTCTCCCTCGCAGTCCACCCTGGGCGGCGAGGACGAGTGTGCCGTGGACGGGGGCAAGAAATCCCAGGACTCGGAGAAGCCCCCGCCTGGTGTCACCTCTCCCGTGGATCTCACTCACATCCTTTCTAGCAAGCAGGGCGCTGATTCCAGTCCTCTCCTTCACCTGAGGCCCAAGGACTACCTGACGGGAAGCGGTCAAGACTCCTCACATCTCATCCTGGTGGCCTTCGAAAGGAAGGTGACCTCTACCAAAAAAGTTAGCATCCCAGGCATTCTCGTCCCTGATATAATGGCTTTTGACCCCAAAACTCAAACTATATCGGTGGCATCCAATACCTGCAACACTGTTTTGGTCTATTCGCTGACTTCGTCCAGCTTGCCCAATATTCAACATATTCAGCTGGAGAAAAATGAAAAACCAAAGGGCTTGTGCTTCTTGACCAAGAAGTTATTGTTGATCATGGTCGGCAGGCAAAAATTCTCCGACCCCGCGTTTCTGCCCTCTTCCAGGTCAGACAAGTACATGATCCGCTTGATACTCAAGGAGCTCCTGTTTGAAGGGTGTCCTGCGACGCCTAATGCCAGCCCTGGTTTTCATCTTCTTTCCAACCTATCCCAAGACTTTCCTGCATCCGCCCACCCGCTGAACTGCGGGCTCCTGATACCAGGCCGCGCTGCTCCGCCGTCCCCCACGAGCAGGAGAAAACTCATTGAGGAAATCAAGAGCCCCACGTACGAGCAGAGCCTGCTGAATGTGAGCGACCTCAAGGAAAAAAAGATTCCAGGGAATTTTCCCCYGGCTGTTGAGGCTCTGGATGCTGAACCAGGGAACCGCTCCGGGGCTCTGTCTGCCACCCCGCTGGCCTTTTGCAACAAGCCAACCTCTCCCAAAAGGCAGACGGACGCAGCTCCCAAAATACCCAACTCCTGGAAGAATAACTTGCTGTTAAGTGAAAAGGAAGCAAGTTACGTATCGAAAAACACGGAAAAACTGTCTAGTAACTTCACAGAGTTACGGCATCATCTCTCTGAGCTAACCGAGCTGCTCAAATCTGGGAAGAAAAGTCTTCCAGTCTACCCATCTTCTCAGGAACCCTCTTTTATTTACGTCACTTACCAGGTAATTTTAATATGGGAAGCTTTAATGAGGAAACCTGTTTGTGGACATTTCCATACCCTTCCTGTCATTGCATCCCAGTTCCTATTTACAGCTCTTTTAGAACTGGGTGTTATTACTTTTTTTTTTTTGAGAGGATAATTTTGGATAATTCTTGTAATCTTTAAATTATTACTGCTTCATATGATTATGGAAAAAAAGTTATTGGAAACAGAAATCTTGCTGATCAACATTGAAATTAGCATCTGAGCTGCAAAAAGACCCTTTAGGATGCAGCGAATAATTCAATTAATACAGTTTTAAAATAACTCAAAAATCATATTTGATATGAAGTGCATCAGCTTTGAATGATTTTTTTTCCTTCCCTAAAAGAAAGTACTGCAAAAATCTCACGCTAGAAGGTGTAAATTTTCTGGTTGTCCAAGTATGGTGCATAATCTGCAAGGCCTCGTTTAGAGGTGACATTAATTTATCCCTGRTCAATATTCAGAGACCTTCAAACTGCCTTTTCTTTTCAATAACCACTTATTTTGTGGCTTTGTTCTTGATAAAAAATAAGAGCTGCGTTGGTAACACTGACCTCTAAGGTTCTAGACTGTATACCCTCCTTGTCCTAGCTCTTCTCCATTGTAAATATTTAATAATTMTAATAACTCTTAGTTTTTATGTCGTTCTTAAATATTAATTATCAGTGGGATATTACTCTAAAAATGGCCATAGTAAAGGGAAAATGTCATCCATGGGTTYGTTCTCTCGTTTATCTGTTTGTTTGGAAGCCCACTTTATATTTGAGATAGCTCGAGGTTTTATTATGCTTTTATACTACTGATCTGTGGGTTTTTTTAAATATATATATTTGACTTTCCAATTATGAGTGAGGTTGGGAATTCTGGAGGGARACGCTGTCTTTTAGTCATGGCCTGGGTGCATTTGACATGGGAAYCATTAATGGGTGATAAAAGGTCCTCGGCTCGTGCGCTTCACATACATGTGACCCTGGACTGCCCGGATTATTASCTGTATTTTACAAATCAATGAGGAAACCCTAAATGAGCAGCCTCAATGAGAGGCCACAGCCCTTGTGGGGGCACCTGTGGGTGTCTCCAGGCTCCTCTCCAGCAGGATTCCCGTGCAGGGATGGCTCCATCCACAGCATGGAAGCAGAAACAGCATCGACTGTATGGCCATACACTATTTATATAGAATAGATATTTTTATATATGATATTATGAAGGCTTTCCTGGGGGCTGACGTGATTGTGTGAATTTTAGCCTGCACTAGAAAAAAAAAATGGAACTTGAAGCTTTTGTAGCCATTGGGTTTTGGCTTGTTTCCCAAGTGCTTTGCCCTGGCGCATGGGAGGGAAGGTGCAAACGGCGTCTTCAGAGACAAAGGTTTTATGCAGTGCTGGTGAAAGGGGTGATGGATCAGTGCTTGCAACACRTTAGTCAGCTCCTTGTTCCACCAAGGAATCCCTGTATCCCACAAGGATAAAAGCTCGATAGAAGTTCTCGCTTCCTAATATGTGGATCGGAGAGGAAGGAAGACAGAAATTCCCTGCTCCGCCGGCTCCCAGCGCGATGTTCCTGCCAGAATGAGGCTGCATTCCAGGGTGGATGTAGCTCCTTTTCCTCGGCAGCACCGTGCGATTTYGTCTGTGCTTCTAACAGATAGTGACAGATGCTTCTTCTTGAAAAGTACCAGTTGAATCTTGAAAATCAGTGCCAGTTAGTACCACTTTACTCTCTGCAAGTGACACAGTTGAAGGCTCATCTGTGGTGCTGTTTTCATGAATGCCATTTTGATTGGATTACCATTGATCATTAGATATCCCTCTGTGTGTCTAACAATCCTTTTTTTTCCAGAAGCAGCTTTCCAGGAGCAGCGCGGACGAAAGGCGGGCTGTGATTCTCTGCGATGGAAAACTCCGTCTCAACGTAGTGCAGCAAATATTCAACCTCTCCCTTATAGAAATGCAGCATGGTAGGTGGTAGCTACCCAGTAATACCCGTGTTCTAAAATGTTTTAAAATGCRTGTGATGATCTCAGGCTGAAGCAGCAATGTGCCAAAACAAGGAACAAATAATTAAAGGGTCTAAAATTGGCTCGTTAGTTTTACAATGCGAAAGTTCTTCTCTGTTCAAGGCCAGATGAACCGTGCAAGTCTGCTCTGTGCCCATGTATGAAGCTGATGATTGTGCAGGAAAATCACTGGGTCGGGTACCTTTGTGTTTTCAGCCATTCTGAACAGAGAACCCCGAATAAAAAGGAAGTTAGGGTGGACCAGTGGTTTCAAAATCCACTTTTCTAGATTTTAATCTCCAGTTCYATCATCTGGTCTGCCTTAAACAGCCCTGTAGTTTTTTATAAGCACAAAAGCAGGACTGTAGATATCAGTGGCATAGTTTTTACTATGGAAATAGGCATAGAAATCATAGCCCAGGATTGTGTGGAGTGTGATCTCCCACTACAAGTATTCTCTGTACTGTAGCCCAGCAACTGCAGCTTTGCCATCTGCCCCCGGGCAGATTACCAAGCAACTGTTGCAAAGACTTAAGCATATGCTTTTTCCAGTTATAAAAATGCTGGTTTTCTGGAAATAGTTTATTTAAATGTTTAATATTGCAATACCTAGATGAAACTGCTGTATAACCACTCACAAGTGAGTCCTGCAAAGGTCCTTAAGTCTTACATTAGTTTGAGCTTGAAACACAGGAGCTGTTTARCAATGTCGTGGTGCAACCCAGAAGCAGCTGGTACACCCAGTCAGAAAAGTGCAGAATTTTGTCAATTAGGTTTTCTAATTTTTTTGAGCTGATATTTTATTTTCCTTCTCTTTCTGGGAAATATTGAGGAATGTGTGTCCCTTRCCCATATTGATTATGACTTCTTATTTATGGCTTTGAAAAAGGTAAACTTTGCAGAATGGGTTACCCTGGAATGAATAATCATCATGAGTGACTATAAGCCTTACTAATGACTTTTTAAAACTAAAAAGTGTTCCAATATAATTATGAATTTGAATATTAGGAGATAAGTAAGCACATCAATAATGTTTTTTTTTAAATTCCTAAATTATATTGATTTAAAGGTTTTGTCCAAATACGATATTAAGCTRTAAGATTAAAGGGCCTTGTGCTTTTAAACCACAATCTTGTCGTGACCTTACTTAGATCATGAAGTTACATAATGTAGCTGCATGAAGCAGCTGGGAATGTTTCACTGACCCGCCCCGCCACAAGCTCTTTTTGTTTGTTTGTTTATTTTAATTTCACTTTAAAATATGCAAGTGTGAAAATGTTCTGCTTTGCATGAATTGCTGAAAATTGGTGCTTCTCATTCTGTAAGCAATTTTAAAATGTAAAAATAATGCTGATATTAATGTAAAATCAGGTAGAAAATGGACCAGAGACATAGGGCTTGTGCAGGATGGCACAGTATTTCTTCCTTGAGAAGAACAGAAGCTGTATAAATAATTCTCATAAGATGAAGTGTTTCTAAACAGTTTCTAAAATCGYTTTATTATGTTTTGGACCATTTTTAAAAAATTGTAATAAAAGTCAAAAACATAATAAAAACATTTCAGAATTTTTTTAAAATTGTCTTTAATTTGTTTTAATAAAGGTCTGCTTTGTGCAGTATCTGCACAGCTTCAGAGCTGTAAAATAGCCACTGAATACCTAACACACAGRGGTGATGCTTGTGAATGCTGCTGCTCAGGGTTTCGTTTCTGTTCTTATTTAAGGTCTGCGTTTACTGTAGTCCCAGCTCCTGGAAGCTGCTTTGCCTTTGTTTACCCACACCTCTAGTCTTGAGATCACACAACCTGTATCTCCCCAGACTTTTTGCTGAAAGAAAASTGTGACCATACAAGAATATTTAATTTTAAAGAAATATATTTTATATATACCCAATCAGAGGAAAAAAAAGTGCAGCTGTTTGCATGTTTTCACAGGTCCCTCCTGGATTGTGCTCACAGCAGACAGCGAGGGCTTCGTTCCCTTGATGTTCACGTCCAGGCAGGAGATGGTCATAAGAGACGCCAGCACGAAAGGCTACAGCCACCGCTCCTCGAAAACCCTGGACATCATCAGCTCCACAGAGGGGCTCCGACCCTCTCCCTCCGCAAGCCTGGACATCACGAGCTCCCTGGAGGGCCTCCGAGACGGCCCCRCCGAGAGCCTAAGCAGCAGCAGTTCTTCAGAACAGTCAAGCAGCAAAATGTGATTTTTGTCACAGCAATTTTGTAATAGCCTCTCTTCGCTGACAGGAGAGTTTTAAACRCACTGTATATATCTGTATTTTTCAATAATGGTCTGTCTCATAACTCCGTTGAATTTCCATCATTGTTTGTGGAGGATGGCTGTAAATCATGTCCTTGTTTATTTACCCTTGGAAACATTTCTATTAAAACTGAGGAGTGTTTTAAATCTACCTCTTGCTACTCATCACAGACCAGGGCTTTGTATCTTCCAACTTTTATAGGAGTTGCAAAGAAAATGCAATTTCTTAGAGGGGTGAGAGTTAAAGTTTCCATCTTGGTCTTTAATACGTTGCTGTTTGTAGCTGGTAGCACACTTGCATAATAAAGAAATCCTTAAACACACCATTTGCTTCCCATTTCCTCACTTCTGTGAAACCTTGACATGTTTTATTGTGCTTATTCAGAAGCTTCCAGCTGCTCTGTCTGCAGAAGTGCCTGTGTTTTTGCCCTGATGCTGGCTAAGGGCATGAGCACCACCTTAGAGGTRTGGAATTGGGGCCTAAGGGTGATCATGGTGAGTACCTATATGCAGTGGGTAGGAGCAAGGCCCTTTTCCCCTGCCCTCCCAGCTGGTCTCTGTGTCCTTAACTTCTGTGAACAGTTTGGAGAGTTGCTGTTGTAGCCTTAAAATGTCATTAAAATTGATCACATCTGAATACCTGCAAGCAGTTGCTAGTTACAGTTTTTAATCTAATAAACATTTCTTTGTCTTCCTGGAGGCTTTTTGCCCTCTTGCCTTTGAAACAGCACCACACTCTTAATAAGATTGGCTTCAGTGCATCTATTTTAACTTTGATAGGTTGGAAGTCGTAAACAGAGGAGAAGTTTAATCTCTAGGGCTTCCAGTTTGAGGCTGACTGAAGCAAATGCTCTATAGGCTTTTGTACTGAGAGCGAAAATTCAGAGGCTCCACACACAGGTTACAGAGCAGAGACTTTGGGAAAAACAAAACCCAAAAATGCAAACCCATAGAGGGCCAGGGTATTGTGAAATTAAATCTGTGTGAAATGAAAGCACGATAAAATTAAGAAGTTTGTCAGCCTCTCACAGGGACACTTTTCTGTGTGAGAGGGAATCAAGGCAAGAGATGATACACCTGGAGCTGTTGTCTCAGGACTAGTAAAATTTCWATATATATATATRTTTTTTTAATTGGCTGTTTTGGATTTGCCACTGTCAGCAATCACAAAATACAGAATGAAAGGCACAGCGACAGGTAAAGCTGCAGAGAACTGGGTGGTCTGTGCTGCAGCTTCTGCTTTCGGTGAACAGGAGAAGAATGAAAYGGGTGCAGTAAGGATCTGCCTCCAAAGGCCTAAATCTCTTTAATATATCAAAAGTACAGTTAATAAAAACAGGATTTCAATTTTCAATATGGAAAATATTCTGAGAGAACAGTGCAGCAAATAGAAATTATCATAGGGGGCTGACGGGTGGGAGGAGTAGAGGCCATGACTAAGGCTGCTCCTGCCTCCATGGCAAAGGTGGGTAGAATTTTATTTCAGGATTTATTTCAGTTTAACTGTAATATAAATTAATAATAATCCTTCATATAATAGGTTTTGAGAAGCAAGTGTAGAATACAGAAAGTGTAGAAAGTATTATTTATGAATACGTTTAGTGGGTCAACCAGCTTCCAAGCCATTCATCCAAATGTTGGGACAAGATTACATTGAAAATAAAAAAAGAACACACAAAACACATTGAAGATGACAAATATGTTTATTTTTAGCCAACATCTCTCAAAAGAACAAAGTAACCACAGTGCAAAACCCACTAGAACTGAGATTTTATTCCTGTTAGGCTACTTATTTGTGTGCGTGTGTTCAGGTTCCCCCTTTACTTCCCATGGGCACATTCCTYCTAGCAAACGATGCATCATCTATAGCTCTCCTCACCAAATCCAATACCTGTCTCCTCCACCCCAGTCCCCTCAAAGGAGAGAGATGAAGGGGATCCTTGGACTCGGTCTATGAGACACTTCCCAACTGGCTCAGGACTGTCCCCGGACACGGAGCCCCCAACCAGCGCTAGTTACCAGCAGCACCATGGCCAAAGCTCCCTCATTTCCACCCGCTAGTGCTGTTGATAACACRACATCTCAGCAGGTTTTCTAACTGCTGTCAGTCCTTCTCTCGAGCTCCYTGTTCTTCCTGCAGTTGCACAGCCAGAATAATTAAATGACATCTTTCTTTTTCCCTGTATAACATCGGTGCTGCTGGCAGAGCAGCTCCTGGGGAGTCTCCGGTTCTGCTGCATTGAAAATCCACCGTGTTTGCTGCACTCGCCCATCATCTCTGGCACCACATTCCTGCTTCTTCTATTAATCTGCTCTTACGTGAACACTGGTTAAGACGGAAAGTTGACAGCTGCTTGAAATCTGATGATACAGGGGTGGCCTCTGTTGGCCTTAGATGAAAAGAGCATTCAAAAACAGAGTCCTTCACAGAGACTACTCAGGCACAGAGGGAATCCTGTAGACTCATGTTCAGAGTGAATGTGCCGTGGATTTCAGCAAAGATGTGCAAAGCCATGGTCCTGGTGGTGTGCATGATCTTGGAAATGTTTGTGGTCTCACAGGTGCTCATGATCTTGAGGGTGTTCATGGTCTTGGTGGTGTTCATGGTATCGGAGGTGTGCATGAGCTTGAAGGTGTTCATGGTCTCRATGGTGTTTGTCATCTTGGAGCTTTTCTTCTGCCTTTGAGCGGGACTTTGAGCGAGGGACTATATCAGCTCCATGTGGATCCTTCATCACTGTCTACAGCAGAACACAGCATTACTGAGGACAGAAAGTGGAACAGAGGAGCTGAAATTCATAGTCCTGTCCAACATCACTTGGAACAGGAAATAGATCCTATTTCTGCTCCCACCCAAAGCTCCATATTTCCCTACCAACCAACCTGCCTTCTTCACGCAGGGCAAGCTGGTTTTACAGCATTCAGGCTCCCTGTGAAGTCCGATGCTGCTCTCGGGTCAAYGTTAGAGATGCTGCTTGATCAAAGCCTCTGAAACGATGCTGAACTTCGCTCAGTGCAGGGACCATTCCCACTCTGTACAGCCGTGTCTTCAGCTTGTGTCTTCAGAGACTGCATATTCTCAGGTGCAAAAAGACCCCTACTCTGCCTCCTGGATGGAGACAAGTGTTTTTTCTTCATCTTTTGATTATATTTTATGCAGTGGATTTAGAGCCAAGTGGTGCAAAAGCTGCCCACTTTCATACACTAAACCTAGAGCACACACACTCAGTTCGTAAGCAGAGGACTCAGTACCCTGCTGATGTATCTCAACTGGGTCTTGCAGATAGGTAAGGTGATARAAAAGTGTTCAGTGCAGCACTTGTCATGGCAGAAGGAAATTGCACGAGAAGGTTCCCTCCCCCCCCTACCACTTTCATGAAATCATTGGCCTTCCCATCACTCAATCCTGGCCATCTGCTGAAGGAACAGGCGCTGCTGAAGGAACAGACTCTCTGCTGGACCACCGTGAGCTGTTTCTGCCTCTGACTAAGATAAAAAATCCATRCAAGGTGTGTGACAGACCACTGCATTGCCATGGGCTGGGCCCTGCTGTGCGAGACTTCAGAGCTGCCCGGTCTTCTTTGTCTTCGAAGCCCTGACAACAAATACCAGGTACAAAAGGACCGTTTCCCTCACTCTGGCCTTCCCAAGATGGGTTTGAGTTTGTGTTTTCTGTCTCCAAGCCAGAAAAGGAGGTGAAGTGATACTCAGCAGCAAAATGTGGGCCCACAAGAGGAGGGGTTGGCTGTAGAACGCTGTCCACTTGAAGTGTTTTGCTCGAAATGCACAAGGTGAATGGACACCTTGGAATGCWGTGAGGACTGGATCTAGCAGTGACTCTTCTAAGGTGAAGTCCTGAATAAAGGGGATAGTTCTTGACTTGCCAGGGGCCCTGTAATACCAGTGACTTGAATCTCGAGGTCCCTCCGTGTGGAAACTCCCAAAGACAGATGTCCCAGGYGGAATATTCACCCACTACCGTGTGGGACATCACATTGGTGAGCCCTCCACCTGGGCCACGGCAGGGCAGGCTCAGGGCAGCAGGGTGGGAGGACACGTGGCGGCGGTGACAGGCGGTGACAGAGGTGGCAGCAACCAGCACACGGTGGCAGTGACCAGCACGGAGCCCSCTCGGCAGCGGGGCAGAACCTTAGGAATTTTCAACACTGCCTTCAGGCACAAACAACAAGCAGGCGAAACTGGAAGGGGTGACAAGGGACTACGTGACCTCCTGCCTCGAGTAGCCTGTTACAGATGGGGGCTGCTCTCGGTGTACCATGGTTTGCCTCACAGGGACTATCCCGTGCCATGTAACTGTCATCCTGTTCTTTTCTCCTTCTGTTAGTGAAAATCCAGGTGTTGGAAGAGCCTGTGTGCAAGTGGAGAAATCCAGGGCATTGGACACGCAGCCACTTTAATCCAATCTCCCATATTCTCTGGATTGTACTTGGGTATTATTATTATTATTGGGTATTATTACGGGTATAAGCTGAAACCCAGGCAGTTCCATCTCCATGTGAGGAAGAGCTTCTTTCCTGTGAGGGTGACAGAGCCCTGGAACAGGCTGCCCAGGGAGGTTGTGGAGTCTCCTTCTCTGGAGATCTTCCAAACCTGCCTGGATGCCACCCTGTGCCCCGTGCTCTGGGTGTCCCTGCTGGAGCAGGGGGTTGGACTAGATGATCTCTAGGAGTCCCTTCCAACCTCAACCAATCTGTGGTTCTGTGATTACGCCACTGAGACCCCTCAGGAAGGAAACTTGGTCCTTCTTGTTACTGATCAGCCCAAGGCAGGAGATTCACATTTGATCAACATTTAATCTGAATTGTTGTCAATGTAAGAATCTGCTCCTTTCAGGCACATGATCTGAGCAGGACACCAAGTTTACATCACTTTAAAAAGTGACATGAAAATACAAAGTTCAATCCTTTTATAGTACCAGCACTGAGCCTTCAAAAACAAAGTTACAGAAATCTCTCCCTACAGTTTCTTCCATTCCAGTGCCTTTTTCCCCCTTAAAAAAATACATTTGTTTATTAACAGCTCTGATAATCAAATAAAAAATCTGACATTTTTAAACTATAAAAATAATCTGGTACATTTAATCCACGGAAACTTTCTCTTTTACTTTGGCAATACCACCACCATATGCAGAACGAGGATAGTGGGCACATTTCT